TTTGTGAGTGTTTTACTTTTAATTTATTTACGTTGAGTGTTTTACTTTTAATATGTTTAAGTTGAGTGTTTTGCTTTTAATGAGTGTTTTACTTTATATGTTTAAGTGTGATTTTCAATTTTAGATAAATTACTTTGTTTTGTTGGCTTTGTAATATGTTTTACTATGTATTTTGTTTTTGAATAAAGAAAAACGGACATTCTCAAGTCTACGATTGGATCCAAGATTGATGATGAACATCTTTGTCTTATAGACAGTGCTATAACACACACTATACTTAAAGAAAGAAAATATTTTTCTTCTTTGATAATGTGTGAAGCTAACATAAATATAATATTTGGTTGTACAAAATTAATTGAAGGCTCTGGAAGAGCTAATATGTTATTGCACGGAGGAACACAATTTATTATAAAAGATGTATTATTTTCTTCCAAGTCTAAAAGAAACTTATTAAGTTGTAAAGATATTCGTTGTAATGGATATCATATTGAGACAACTAATGAAAGAAATATTGAATATCTTTATATTACAAGAATAATTGCAGGCAAGAAATGTGTATTGGAAAAATTACTTGCTTTTTCTTCTGAATTATACTACACAAATATCAGTGTATTTGAAACACATGTTATTATAAACCAGAAGTTTACTAATCCTAATACTTTTATTATTTGGCATGATTGGTTAAGGCCAACCTGGTTCAATAATGATGCGAAGAATAATTGAGAATTCACATGGACATCCATTGAAAAACCAGAAGATTTTTCAATCTAATGAATTCTCTTGTGCTGCTTTTTCTCAAGGTAAATTAATTATTAAACATCACCAACTAAAATTGGGATTTAATCACCTACATTTTTAGAAAGAATTCAAGGTGATATATGTGAGTTTGTTCATCCACCATGTAGACCATTTAGATATTTTATGGTCTTCGTAGATGCATCTACAAGATGGTCTCATGCGTGTTTATTATCTACTTGTAACCTGGTATTTGCGAGATTACTTGCCCAAATAATTCGATTGCGAGCACAATTTCCAGATTAAACAATTAAGACAATACGTTTTGATAATGCTGGTGAATTTATGTCTCAGGCTTTTAATGATTATTTTATGTCAATCAGAATAACGATTGAAAAGCCTATTGCCCATGTTCATACATGGGATAGTCTAGCAGAGTCATTTATTAAACGTCTCCAATTGATTGCTAGACCATTACTCATGAGAACAAAGCTCCCAACTTCTGCTTGGGGACACGCTATTTTACATGCAGCAGCACTTGTATGCATTAGGCCAACAAGTTATCACAAATTCTCCCCTTTACAATTGGCTTTTGGTCAAGAGCCAAATATTTTCCATTTAAGAATATTTGGATGTGCAGTATATGTTCCAATTGCTCCACCGCAATGCACTAAAATGGGTCCCTAAAGAAGATTGGGAATATATGTTGGATATAAATTTCCTTCTATAATTAAATATTTAGAACCATTAATGTGAGATTTATTTACTGCACGATTTGCTGATTGTCATTTTAATGAAACAAAATTCCCATCATTAGGGAAGAGAATAGGCAATTGGAAGAGGAAATTACCTAGAAAATGTCGTCATTATCTTATCTTGATCCTCGTTTTAAACAGTGTGAACAAGAAGTTCAAAAGATAATTCATTTGCAAAATGTAGCAAATCAGTTGCCAGATGCATTCACTGATTCAAAAAGAGTGACTAAATCTCACATACCAGCTGCAAATGCTCCAATTCGGATTGATGTCCCTGAAGGACAATTACCTGTAGCAAATGAATCTAAGGCACGTTTAAAGCGAGGTAGACCAGTTGGTTCCAAAGATAAAAATCCTCGAAAGAAAAGAGTAGCAAATGACCAAGATGTTTACATCAAGGAGACAAGGTCTCATGAAGAGAATAGAGACATATTTAATCATGAAACTCTAGAAGAAGTTCAGGTACCTGAAACTAGCAAGAATGAAGAGATCTCAATAAATTATGTCTCTACAAGGAAAAAATAGAATCGAAAAGAAATAATTGTTGACAACTTTTTTGCATACAATATAGCGCTTGATATTTGTAAATAATAATGAGGATCTTGAACCTAAATCTGTTGAAGAATGTAGACAGAGAGAGGATTGGGCAAAATGGAAAGACACAATCAAGGTAGAACTCAATTCATTAGAAAAACATGGAGTTTTTGGACCTATAGTCCGAACACCTAAAGATGTAATGCCTGTGGGGTACAAATGGGTATTTGTGCGAAAACGAAATGAGAAAGATGGAAAGATGCACTCAAAGCATAACTGAATTCATTAGAAAAACGTGAAGTTTTTGGACCTGTAGTCCGAACTCCTAAAGATGTAATGTCGGTGGGGTACAAATGGGTATTTGTGCAAAAACGAAATGAGAAAGATGGAAAGACGCAATCAAAGCAGAACTAAACTCATTAGAAAAACGTGAAGTTTTTGGACCTGTAGTCCGAACACCTAAAGATGTAATGCCAATGGGGTACGAATGGGTATTTGTGCTAAAACGAAATGAGAAAAATGAAGTCGTAAGATATAAAGCAAGACTTGTAGCAAAAAGGTTTTAGCAAAGACCTGACATTGATTATGAAGAAACATATTCTCCAATGATAGATGCAATAACATTTCGATTCCTTATTAGTCTGGCAACAAATAAAACCCTTGATATGCATCTAAAGGATGTAGTTACAACCTATTTATATGGATCACTTGATAACAACATATATATGAACATCCTTAAAGGATTTAAAATGCCTGAAGCGTGCAACTCAAATTCTCGAGAATTTTATTCAATTAAATTGCATAAATCATTATATGGATTAAAGCAATCAGATCGTATGTGGTATAACTGTCTTAGTAAATATTTGTTGAAATATAAAAATGACCCTATTTGCCCATGTGTTTTCATAAAAAGATCTAGATCTGAATTTGTTATAATTGTTGTATATGTTGATGACTTGAATATTATTGGAACTCCTGAAGAGATTTAAAGGGTAGCAGATTATCTAAAAATAGAATTTGAGATGAAAGACCTTGGAAAAACAAAATTTTGTCTCGGTTTGCAAATTGAGCACTTAACAAGTGGAATTTTTGTGTACCAATCAAATTATATTGAGAAAATCTTAAAACGATTTTATATGGATAAAGCACATCCACTGAGTACCCTAATGGTTGTAAGATCACTTGATGTGAACAAAGATCCTTTTCGGCCGATAGAAGATAAAGAAGATGTATTTGGTCTTGAAGTACCATACCTAAGTGCAATAGGTGCATTAATGTATCTTACTAACAATACACGACCGAATATAACATTTTCAGTAAATTTGTTAGCAAGATATAGTTGTACTCCGAGACGAAGGCATTGGAACAAAATTAAGCATATATTCTAATATCTTCAAGGAACAATAGATATGGGTTTATTTTATTCAAATGAATCTACACCTCAATTAATTGGTTATGCAGATGCAAGATATTTATCTGGCCCACATAAAGCTAGATCTCAAACAGGCTATTTGTTCACATATGGAGGTACGACTATTTCATGGTGTTCTACAAAACAAACTATAGCTGCTACTTCTTCAAACCATGCTGAGATAATAGCTATCCATGAAGCAAGTCAAGAATGTGTTTGGCTCAGATCAATAACCCAAAATATTCAAGAATCATGTGGCATTGATTACAATAAAGAAGTTCCTATATCATTATATGAAGATAATACTGCATGCACAGCTTAGTTAAAGGGAGGTTATATCAAAGGTGATAGGACGAAACATATATCACCAAAATTCTTCACTACTTATGGCCTTCAAAAGAATGACGATATTGAAGTTAAACAGATTCGCTCATGTGATAATCTAGCAGACTTATTTACTAAAACTTTACTGACTGCAACATTTGAAAAGTTGGTATACAATATTGGAATGCGTCGGTACAAAAATCTTAAGTGATATCATCATGAGAGGGAGTAAATACGCACTGTACTCTCTTTACCTTGACCAAGGTTTTATCCGGTTGGGTTTTTCCTGATAAGGTTTTTAATGAGACAGTTTCTAAATGCGTATAATACACAAAAATAATGTACTTTTTTTTCCTTCAATAGGTTTATGGGTTTTTTCCTTGTAAGGTTTTAATGAGGCATATTCTTTGTGTAATAGACATCCAAGAGGGAGTGTTATGAATAAATGTGGATGTCCCTTGCAATTCTGTAACTTCCTAATATTTCATATTCTCTAACTCTTAAACCTTTCAAGTTCCACAACATCAAATCATTTTATTAGCTTGAGATATAAATAGATGTATTATGAAAGATGATGTACACTCAACTTTGGAATAAGAAAAACATTAGTTCTATTTCCCCTCAATTATCAACTCTCTTCTTATAGCTTATTTTATTATAAAAATCATTTTTTTTTTTTACTTAAACTAATTAAAAGATTTAAATACTGTACTTCTAAATTTGGTAACTTACAGTCTAGATCTACTAATTAAACAATTTAATTTGGTGTTTAGAAGTTAATACATGTAAATTGATCAAAATTTGACTTGCAAGCGATGGCTACACAAACCTTAATCGCTCGATTGTTGACGATTGACAGAGTTGGAGAGAGTAAGATTTGAGGGGTTTTTGTGAGTGATAATCGATAAAGAAAATGATGGTGATGTAGCGTTGCAACGATACCAGAATTGAAAATGAAATATAAATTTGGATAGTAAAATGATATTTTAAAAATCCATGAGTGGAAAAATGTCACTAAACCATAATTTGGATGCAAAAAAAATAGTTTATTCATCATATAATGGTCAAATAGAAAACACGGAATGCATGGTGTAACAAACACTACATGAATTATACTTGTGTTATACACTATTGAACATTGCTACAATACAATATCAGTAAACTAACAATAAAATTCAACATATCAAAACTTATTATCTAATCCCAATGAAGCCATACCAAATCTCTGTAGTCAGCCTCTGTACACATAATAATAAGATGCTTCATCACGGGCGGCTAAGAATTGAAGTATAATCATCAAAGTGACTAAAACTAGAACATAATCCACATGTATGATGCAAGGGATGAAGAAGACGAGCTCCTACTGACCTTTTTCATCTGTTTCTAGCATTCTTTCAGAATTCGGAATTGAAAGGTTAATTCAGTTCTCAGAAGCCAAAAACTTTTGATGATATATTCATCAGAGGGTCTAAAGCACTTGGTGCAAATTTTCTTGCGAAAAGAAAACAAGTTGAAGAGGGCTGGCTATTGTATGTGCACTGTTGACCTTCGAAAACTTTATGGAGGAAAAATTCTTCTGTGATATCATTTCTTCCGAATGTAGCTGGATGAGCTCCTCCCCTTGACCAGTCCACCCAAGTGAGGCTTCTGTTTGCTAAGAGATTTGGCACTAGAATGGCTAGCATCGTGGGAAAATAGTGTTCATCCACATAACATGCTGGTCGACAGAACTGTTCAAATTTTGGATAAAATGTAGTATCTTCCACAATGTTGACTGCCAGCTTTCGGTTAACTTCAAACCACTGGGATCCTTTACGCCACTGGGAAATGTTCACCACGGGAGCCATGTTCTCATTATAACGCCCTCTCCCATATGGTCCAGGGTCATCAAATGCACCCATGAAACTATATTTGGATCTCATTATGTAGTGGTAGATGACGGAGAAGTTATATAGTGGAATGCAGGATTCGGAGACGAGTATGAACCACTCATTGGAGATATCAAGCAATGCGTTAGCAAGAAGTCTTCTCTCTGCATCACACATGCTCATTCTTCCCCATTCAGAGATCTGCAAAGGAAGATAGCACAAAAACCATCAACTCCTCCTAATATTGAGAATATTGGATTCAAAGCCATACACTTGAAGCAGTAAAAAACAATAATTATCAAACAATTTATGAAAAACTTAGAAAGAATTCTTATTGATAAGTTCCTATGACGAGTCTTTACGATAAGCACCCCTTACATCTGATAAGACAGGAAGACAGTTCAAGTATCAAATTTTAACAAGGGGCATCTTCAAGCACATATTGTCTTCCTACTACTCAATTTTAAAATAAAATAAAACAAACAGCATGTATGATTAGGAAAAATAGCTCTTCAAAACCATGTAAAGCAAAACCAAAGCTTATGTTTTAAGGGCTCTTCCTTATTATCTTGATATTTACATTTCTATTAGTCCTATGAAGATGAGTACTTCATTTTGAACCAAAACATAGACCATCAATATTTTCCATCTCCATGTGAAACCCTAAAACTTCCATCTGTTTATATCTTTTTGCTATCTCAAAGATCAGAACGTAAACAACTAATTAATATTGTGAATCCTTATATAAAAAAAAAAATAAAAAAAAAAATAACTACTGCAATTTGATGTCAAGCCTTTATGCTTACAGGCTACAGCTCTACTTTTATACTCAATCAAACACTGAAACACAAATCAAGTCCTAATTATCTAATCCAGTTCCAACACCATTTCTCAAAAGGCATCTTCTTTATACAAATACACAGCCCCACTTGATCCAACACATATAGTGTTAATTCCGACCTCACTCCTTCCCTATCTATAATTGTGTTTTGGTCCCATCTTATTCACCTCTTAACTAATTTGGCCAGCTTTTTATGGCTCTAACAAACAGAGAGCCCAGCAGTTCCCACCTTTTCTTCACATTTACCCAAAATGATCAACTAATGAGAGTCAGTCATTCTCTGTCTAACCCAGGATGGCGGCTGCAAGTTAAAATGAATGTTAGCTTTTTTTTAATAAACTAAAAAAGTAAGAATATTCAAGAATATGGTCCCATAGAATACAGTGATGTTTCACATGTATAGCTAACATTCTTTTGTCCTGTTATGTCTAAATTATGCTCTTATTTGATTCGTGCACTCTCTGTGGCTAGCATAACCATTTCTATTCCCAGTTCCTAACAGCAGCTCATGCAAGGGTCTAGATCATATGCTTATTTGGTTCATGCACTCTCTGTGGCTAGCTCATTTCCATTTCTGTTTCCAGTTCGTAACAGCAACTCATGCAAGGGTTGAGGCACTTGGCTAAAGAAGTAATATTTTATAACTGACATCATCACCTACTTGGCTGACTCACATGTCCAAAACCAACCGCCAACTGAAAAACAGGATATAATTAGATTAAAAGTAAAATTGATTAATCAATGTCTTCCTCATTAAAAAAAATCTCCAGAGTTTGACCCTTTGTCAAAAACATAATTGAAAGGCCATGTTGAATGATGACATAACTTTTTTATTTTCAAAGACTGGAAACCCCAAATGTAGTTCTGGAGTCCTCGTCAACTTAAGCTCTTGACCAAATATGACAAGGCATCCAAGAATGGTGACATAATGATTAGTAAAGATGAAACCACAAGAGAATAAACAAATTACAGGTAAGAAGAAGTTATAGTCATCCTCAGTCAAGGAAAAGGACTGGAATTTACATCCTCATATGTATAATCAGTAGTACAACAAACGAGTCAGATGAATTTCTATCAAAATTCAAAATAGCAAATTAAACCTGGATAACAAAGATGCAGGCCATACCTGACTTGGAATTTGTCTCCCATAAAAAATTGATGATGATGGATATTTAGCCTCGTACGTGGGCAATGAATGAACATAGATCGAATATAGCCCTTCATGCCCCTTCAAGAACTTCTCCCAAAGAGGTCCAAGTGGGAGTGGCCCCTTTGTCAAAAACATAAACGCAATTTTTGGAACTCTCCTAAAGGGGTACTTCTTTATTCGAGGAACAAATGATGCTCTCCACAAAAGCTCTTTATCGCTCATAGTGTGCATTAAATTTGATGGAGGTTTTATCCAATTATCCAAACCATTCGGTTTTTCTTTTTCAAAGCATGGCTCAAAATTGGACTTAACCGTTGTCACTACACTCTGGACTCCAAAAAAACGAATTGTGTAAATACTAATGAATGTAAAGGCGATACACAAAGCCAGAAACAAACCAAATAACTGAAATAGCCTCAGCGGCAACGCCCTCGATTGATTCGTCTTGTTTATAAGTGAAGGGTCTTTGCCTTCCTCCAACGGAACCACCCTTGTTTGCATCTTTCCAACTTTATTAAATCAAATTTCACCGTCTGGTTCAGATCCAAAGCAACTTCTATTTTACCATACAAAAAAGACTTCCAAGCCTCAAATTATCAAATGATTCCCAAACCTGAGCTTCAAACTGCAAGTAAGATAAAAACTGAAACATCAAAAGCTAATTATAGCATTCGAGATTTCTAAAACTAAATCTACATCTCCAAAGCAAATTTAACAATACAGATCTAGAATTGATACTAAAGTACCCCCCCTCCCCCCCAAAAAAAAACTCAAAACAATTATAGGGCAATAAGAAGCTGGAGACACTGTTTTTAACAAGAATCTAAATCAAAGATAGAGTCTACTTTTAAATCAAAATGTGACGAGCACGAGTAAGTACGAAAATGATAAGATTGTGAACATACCACGCAACCTTCTTTTGACCATACCACAAAACATAATCATAGATCTTTTCACTCCATTCAATGCTCGAACTGCGGCATCGAAGAAGCAGAAGAGTCAAAAAGCAATAAAAGAAGTTAGGCAAGGAAGAAAAGATGATTGGTCCAAGAAAGTCGGGAATCTCGAAAGTGAAGGTGAAGCAATCACGGGAGATGATGTAATAGTGAAATCTGGAGAATTTAAGAATGTTTGATCTCACGCAAACAGAGTGGGGGTGTAGGTGGCTACTTGGCTTTGGTTTTGGCTTTGGCCTTTTGTCGGGGTCTTTGTTTCGTGGATTTTACATTTACAATGTGTATAGGTGATGGGGCACTTCACATAACCACGTTTTTGGTGTTAAAAAACAATCTTACAACTATTTTGTTTTTGTTATCTGCTCATCCTAGTTTTTCGTTTTTAACAACTGTCCTACCACTTTATTTTCCAAGTTTAATTTATGTTATTTTAGGANTGTTTTTCATAAAATCCTCAAAATGGGAACTTCAATTAAAAAAAAAAAAAAAAATTACATTTGGAATTGAACCAAATGAAATTGTGGGGATTGATTCGAAAAAGAACCAAGCTACTGTATAAATATTTCATATTATCAGGTCTTTCTCAGGGACATCATTTCTTGTTTTAAGCAGAGGTTAGACCACAAATCATTAAATATGGTGATTACTGATTGGTGATATGGAAGTTAACAGAAGATGACTTTAGAGGGATTATCAATGTCAATTCATCCTTAATAACACTTCTAATTTGGACACCGTACTCATAACATCCAATCTATACAATAAATTATGTATAACAAGTAGAATTAGGATATCTCATCAATTATACATGTCACATGAAATTTCTCTCATTTCCACTTAGTATTAATAAAAATATTGATAGTATTAGAATAAGTGTCATAGAGCCAATCAATTATTATAAAATTAATTCTTTGTAATAATATTCATTAATCAATAAAAGACATTTTATTCTATATTGTGTAAATCATATTCATATGTATTGATATATGTCTTTAGGATGGTAGAACTATGACAAGGATATCAAGTGTTTCAAATTTCATAAATATATTAATTGACTTTAATTATAATAATAATAATTAATTTAAAATAAAAATACCACAAGGGGTTGTTTGGATACAAGGTTGGAGCATGCCTATTCCTCATTAGAATATGGTTTTGACACATGCACTATATAAGTGCAAAGTGTATTAGAGAATGAATTAATTCATTCATTCAACCAAAGAAAATGAAAAAAAGAGGCAGCTCATTTTCTCTACTCCTCTCACGTTTGCCCTCCATTTTTTAATCAAAGATTTTTCTTTGATTTTGTTTTGATTCTTGAAGCCAAAGAGAATCTAGTAAATCCCTCTTTGGTTCTTCGAATTGTCTTCGTGTGGATCACCGTTCGTTCGATCCTATTCTTGGATCGATAGCAAAGTAGATTCAGAGACATTTGAAAGAGCCTCCAAACGTGCGTAAGATCTCTGATCCTTGTCTGGATTAATGTTACATTTGTTCTTTTCAATTTAAGCATGTAAAATATATACATATCAGACCTTGATCTTGGGTTAATCAAAGTAATCGATGGAAAAAAAAAATTCATTTTCCGCTGCGTTCACCCCATCGATTTACTTACAGTGGTATCAGAGCCTAGGGCCTTAATTGTATATATTTTAATAGTATTTTGATTGATTAACTGAATTGATTGCTAGATATTGCATGTTTGGTTTATTGATATGTTAATATTGCTTAAATTGATTAACTGATGTGTTGGATTTGTTGAGGGATTCACATTGGATCGTTTTTGTGATACACGCATGAACAATAATTTGGAAATTGAGATTTGCACCACGACACAGTTATTCTGCGTTGCGGCGTAGAGTTTCGTAAACCAAGATTACGTAAATGCGCTGCGACGAAATAAAACTTTGCCACAACGTAATTGTAGGAAAACGTTGAGCAACTGTAATCGCGCATTTGGGCCGCAGCAAAACAAAACTTCACCGCGGTGTGATTACGCAGTGTGATTGCACAATCGCGCTATTTGAGCCGTGACGAAATAACACTTCGCCGTAGCACAAAGTCATTGTCAAATACAAAATGCGCATCTGAGCCGCGGCGTAATAAAACTACACTGCAACATAATTACAATGATGTAGTGTGCCGAATCGTAAGATTGCATGATTGCGCCGCGACGTAACAGGAATACGCCACGGTGCGAATGCATCGTCAAAGCGCGAGTTGCTAGTTTTACATTGCGATGAAATAAAACTTTGCTGCAGCGCAAACATGTTCCTGCTATGCGCCGCAACGTGATAAAACCATGTTACAGCGTGAATGGTGCTGTAGCATTTTTAATACTGGATCGATGCATAATTCTGCAAATCCAATAGGGTAATTTTTATAAATCAACCCACCAAATTTAAAATTGATTGTTTTGAATGTATGCAATAATTCTTGTTTGAAAAATTGCATGGTGCCCAGTACATGAACCTTGGACCTACGATGAATGTTTTAAAGTATTTTGGGGTATGTATGATTGTAATATTAAATAGAGATTGTGTGCCCTGCCTTTCTCTTACCTTCTCGATGTACATTATCTTCTCATCTCATTCCCCTCAAATGTAAATCGAGGTTTCTAAATTTATTGATGTAAAATTAGTGTAATAATTAATTTCACTGTAAATTTAGTATGATGTATTTTGTAATGTACTTGAAGACGGAGCAAAGACGAGACAATCATACTTGAAGACTCAAGATATTTATTGCAGGACCCCTAGGTGACCCACCGGTTCCTCTAGGCTCAAGGAAATTGGTTTTAGTTGGGCCATGTACTGACACATTTATATTTTGCTTAGAATACGTGCTAAGGTTGAATGCTTCACAACATGTCAAACGATGTTATTCTAACAAAGATAATAAAACTGGCGAGACGTAAAATAAAAACCCTCAAATAAAGTATATTAAGTCATATGTAAGCCTTCCATAACCATGGGTTTAATCAAACCACTGTTCGTCGGAACCTTGTTCGCCAAAGCCAAGGCTGTTAGTAACTGACCGAATTCGCGCAGTGGAAAAACATAATATTTAAAACGAATCAATCAATTACATGAACCAAGATCCGAGTACGAATTATAACGTTTTCATGCATAAACTGAAACGTAAAATAAAACTGTATTAAAAACAAATCCATACAAGGATTTAGTTCATACCGACGTTTGGAGGCTCCTCCGAATATCTCTGATTTCAGACATGAATACTATTCATTGACACTGTTCACTGGTTACTGTTCACCAGTATTGTTTACCGTCTACTGTTCACGTGATTCTTCGCTAATCGATCCAATGTAGGATTGCACTCACGGAAGTCCACACGAAGATAATTCGCACAACCCTTGATTATTTTGCTAGAACAATCAAGGGCTTCAAAAATAAAGAAAGAAGAACAAGAAAAATTTTCTTCTTCACACAAGAGTGTAACGTGAAAGAGAGAGAGAGATAGGGTGGCTAAGGTTTTGGATTGAATGAATATATCACTTTGTTTTAATGCAACAATTAAAACCTTATTCCACTTAGGAATAGTCATGGGCTCCAACCCTAGTTCACCCTTGCAACCAAACACACCCTTTATGGTATGTTAATTAATTAATTATTATTATAATTAAAATCAACTAATATATAATAATATATTAACATTTAATTAATAATAATAATTCATTTAAATATATACATAGATATATTTAAGTATAATCTCACTAATTTAATTTTAATATTAAAATTAAGTATAGGCAACAACCTCAACAAATTTAATGGTACTGTGAGATTATCAAAATATCATTTCATCCTGACAGACAAAAATACCCTTCTCACAAATTGATTCTTAAATTATCTTCTAAGTGTGTGACCCGTAGGCTCCTCATCATATCGGTTGTGTGTAGTATCGCAATTAACACCAATTAATCATCTCACTACATACAAACCAAGATTGGCCCCTAGCAAGGCATCATGGCCACTCGATAGATTCAGAGTCGGCAAAACTGCAACCTGTCAACGGTATGGTTACCATGCAATCCAATCATCTCATCATTTGTTATCTCATCGAGACTGAGGTACAGAAATAGTGTCAACCTCAGATATCCTCAACATGTTTGTATTCAGTTAATGGACCAATGACCGGAATAATAAATTGGATTGAGCATCAACTCAATCCCACTGTGGCCACAAATTTAGTGTCATTGCCATTTATTGAATTACCCAGTGAGATAACTTCTCCCATAACCAGGAGTGATGGATCATTTGTTGATCCACCATAGTCTCGATACACTTCTCCATGTAGTCAATCACTACCGTATTGATAGCTCTGAATAGAACTACATTGGGCTAGTGTCAAACTACACCAATTGGTGCACAAGGCGCTCCGATGATCTCAAGTTTAAGGACCACATGCACTACCATCCGTTAGAAGATTTATTCCATAGACACTGGGGTTACCATCCATATGGAATCCTTTGGTGGATCTGTCCAGTAAACTTGCCTCTAGCAAGTACCCATGCGTTGCACCAGGTTGTCGGCAAACAACCTTGACAAGTGAGATCAGTCACTATCTTTTGACAAGGTCATTCAACGCTATGATAACCTTACCGTATTATCTGTGCCCTTGGTCAGAATAATACTAGGGCTACAGACGTTTCTAAAATGGGCACCATATGTGATCATAGGGTTCTCACTATCAAGATTTGAAACAGTTGATACCCTCGTCACGGTTCTACCATCCTAAGGACATATATCATTACATATAACTATAATTTACACAACATAGAAGAATATGCCTTTTATTGATAAATAAACATTTATTACAGAGTCAATTTTTACAATAATAGATTGACTCTAGGGCATCTACTCCAACAATGGGTATACTTCTACTAGTGGGAGGTTAAAGTTCATTAGAGTTTTCCTTAATAGTGATGGGTCGACTTAAAATGACGTGTTTTGCTTGTTCGCCAAAGTGAATGTTGATAAGCATGTCATAGGCATAATAGAGAAGTACATATGTCGTGTGTACGTGACGACATGTAGTGTCCACTATACTGATACTGAGAATCACACTTGAGAACTATGGCTAGGCCGTTGGATTGTGTGATTGGCTTGTTGGCTTGCTTCACATTTGAAGTTGATAGTGAGAGCTATCAACTGGTGTGGATTAAATTTGTTAGCCTACTTAATCAACCTATTTTGGCTTGTTCGCCAAAGCGAATGTTTGAAATGGGCTAGATGGGATTTCAGTCCACTAGGAAAGCCAACGGCTTTCTTGAGTTAATAGTGAGGGCTATTGACTTGAGGAAAATAGTGGGAGCATTTTAATAAAAGACCATATTAAACTATAATGAACATTATAATGACTTTTATTTTTCTGCAATTATAGATTCACCAAAATGAGCATTATGAACCTACGACCAATAATCGAGAAAGAGTACAAGCTGTATGGATCCAATTTCTCGGACTAGTATCGAAATCTTCGGATTATATTGAAGTCTGAAAAGAAATTGTATATCCTTGATAAGCCTTATATAGTTGAGTCTAGTCCTGATGCCACTCAAGAAGTAAAGGATACTTATCAAAAGTTCCTTGATGATGTTGATGGCATTCAATGCCTTATGTTAGCATTGACGACACCTAAGATGCAAAAGCAGCATAAGAATATGGATGATGTTCCCATTATTCTGCATCTCAAGGAACTTTTCAAAAGAAATGCTCGACATGAGAGGTACAAGGTATCAAGTGAACTGTTTAGGAGTCGCATGACTAATTGAGCCGAAGTTGGCCCTCATGTGCTCAAAATGATCGAGCACATGGAGAGGCTTGAGACTTTGGGTTTTGGGTTGGATGCAGAATTATAAGTGGATTTAATCCTGCAATCCTTACTTGATTCTTTTGCACCGTTCATAATGAACTTCAACATGAACACAATGGTAAAATCCCTGTCAAAGCTTCTGAACATGCTGAGGACTATAGAGCAGGACATGAAAAGGTCCAAGCCTGTTTTACTGGTTGCTACTAGTAAAGGAAAGGGTAAAGTCAAGGGAAAGGCTAAGGCCAAACCCAAGCATAAGCCTAAACGACAAGATGCTTTTAAGTCTAAGAGTGGTGTTGGGAAAGGCAGGAAAGTAATTTGCTTCTACTGTGGCAAGCCTGGCCATTTGAGGAAGCACTACATGGCTTTCCTCACCAACAAGAAGAAGTCAGAGGCTTGAACTTCAGGTATGTTCATGATTGAGATTAACTTCTCTTCCTCAACATCTTGGGTCATTGACAAAGGATGTGGTACTCACATTTATACGGATGTGCAGGGACTAAGGCAGAGTAGAGCACTCACCAAGGGAGAAGTGGACCTACAAGTTGGAAATGGAGCACATGTGGCTGCATTGGCTGTAGGAACTTACTGTTTATCTTTGCCTACAGGCTTGGTATTGGAACTACATAATTGTTATTACGTACTTTCTATTTCCAGAAATATTATTTCAATATCTGCTTTGGATAATATAGAGTATCATTTTGAGATTTCTAATGGATTGTTGTCCCTTAGTTTGAATGGTATTCTATTTGGAATTGCAAGGTTATATAACGAGTTATATGTTCTTGATTTAAACAATAAGGATATTCTTAGTGTTAAAACCAAGAGAGCTAAACATAATGATCGAAACCAGACATCCCTCTGGCATTGCAGATTGGGTCATGTTAATCAGACTCGCATTGCAAAACTTCAAAGGGATGGAGTTTTGGACCCTTTTGACTTCCAGTCATTCGAGGTATGTGAGTCATGCCTTTTAGGCAAGATGACCAAGTCTCTTTTCACATGACAAAGTGAAAGGCTACTGAACTGTTAGGCATCATCCATAGTGATGTATGTGGTCCACTAACAGTTGAAGTCAGAGGTGGATATTTATACTTCATCACATTTACTGATAATTTCAGTAGATATGATTATGTCTATCTTATAAGACATAAATCTGAAGCCATTGATAAATTCAAAGAATTCAAGAATGAAGTACAGAATATGTTGGGCAAAAGTATTAAAGCTCTTCGGTCTGATCGAAGAGGTAAATACTTAAGTTCAGGGTTTTCTGAATACCTGAAGAATGTGGGATAGTATCACAATTCACTCCTCCGTATACACCCTAACACAATCGAGTGTCTGAGAGGAGGAATAGGAACTTACTTGACATGATTAGGTCCATGATAAATTTTAGTGATCTACCTGCATCATTCTAAGGTTATGCCCCAAAGACTACGACTTGTGTATTGAACCATGTGCCGTCAAAGTCTATAGATAAGACTCCATATGAACTATGGAGTGGGCGAAAGCTAACTTGTCTTATCTAAGGATTTTGGATTGTGAAGCTTATGTTAAGAAATTGACTTCGAACAACCTAAGTCCGAAATCCCGCAAATGTATATTTGTAGGGTATCCTAAGGAGACAAAAAAATATTATTTCTACCATCTAGAAGAGCGCAGAATTTTTGTCGCTCATACTGGTGTCTTCTTAGAAAATAATTTTTTTCTAAGAAGTACTAATGGGAGAAAAGTAGAACTCGATGAAGTTTTAGTACCACAAGATACATTAAACAAATGACAGGGTAATTTGCCACAAGAGGTGGTTGAACATCGTGAGGAGGTTACTCCACAATTTGTGGATCAAAGTGAACCACCTTTGGTAGCACATGAGCTACGTAGATCTAGGAGAGTATGTCGTGAGCCTGAGAGATACGGTTATATCGTGACTTAACATGGTGACGTTCTAGCCTACCAAGACAATGAACCAGAACCTACGAAGACGCTATATCAGATCTAGATTCCGTTAAATGGCTTGAAGCCATGAAATCTGAGATGGACTCCATGTACCAGAACCAAGCGTGGTCTCTAATGGATCCACCTGAAGGGTTAAAACTCATAGGGTGTAAATGGGTCTTCAAGAAGAAGACTGACACGGATGGCAAGGTGCATACATGTAAGACACTACTAGTTGCCAAAGGTTTTAGAAATGTCCGTAGCCCCAGTATTATTCTGACCAAGGACACAGATAATACGGTAAGACTATCATAGTGTTGAATGACGCTATCGAAAGGCAGTGACTGATCTCACTTATCAAGATTGTTTGTCGACAACCTGGTGCAACACATGGGTGCTTATTGTAGGCAAGTTCACTAGACTAACCCATCAAATGATTCTATATAGATGGCAACCCCAGTGTCTATGGAATAAATCCTCTAACGAATGGTGGTGCATGTGATCCTTAGACTTGAGATCACCGAAGCGCCTTGTGCACCGATTGGTGTAGTTTGACACACTGTTTTAAAAGCTGGACCAGACCAGCTGGTCCAACCGGTTGGATCATGAACCGGTCACGTGTCCGGTTCGAGTCAACATAAAAACTGGCATTATACAATAACCCGTTTTAACCCGTCAATGGACTGCGTGAACATTGCTGGAATGCCGGTCCTACCGGACCACAAGCAAAATCGGCCCAACATTGAAAAAGGAAAAAAATCCCTAATTTTCTCACTTTCTCACCATCACGCAATTTCTTCTTCCTCAGTTCCTCTACGCGCAAAATACTCTGAAAAAATTTGAATGAAATCGCGAAAATTTGAAATCCCACACAAATAAAAAATGAATCTTGCTGAAATCGCAACCATTCCTTGCTGAAATCGATCGCAACTCCAATCTTTGAAATTGCGACAACACGTTCCTCCCTCGCTGGAAATCGACGATGCGGTCCTCCCTTGCTGGAAATCGACGCATAAAGGCTGATTGGCATGCATGTCTTGACAATCCAATTTGATTCAAGGTGAGTTGCAAACAATAAATTTAGTGAACATCTTCTGATTCATACTCTTCTGAACTTTTATGGTTAATACCTGATCATATTCACTTTGAATCATTATCTTTTTCCTATTTTTTCTGATTTGGTTCAATTTCTGTAATTAAATCAGAAGGCAATACTGCTTACACTAGGTTATATTTACTCTGGAGCTAAAGCAGACATCAAAGTTTGGGACCCTTCTGTCGAATCTGACGATGAGTACAGTACTTCCCGAGTTAGTCTCCAAAGTGGTCCTTACTACGATTTTGAAAGCCTTGAATCTGGATGGGCGGTTAGTATAACTAAGAATTCTTTTTCAATTCAATCATTCATCCATTACAGCACTAGCTAAACAAATACCTTTTTTCTTTTTTGGTTCATAATTTTTCGGGTAAATCCAAGAGTGTATGGAGATAAGAAGACTCGATTGTATGTATATTGGACCGTAAGTACTAGTCAACAAAAAAGTTACTATAATTTTTATGGAGGTTAACTTCTTGTGGAGATGTCTATGCTACTAAATACACAACGTAAGATCCAAATTTTATTTCTTTTCTTTATTAAATAGGTTGATGGATCAAAGGCAACATGGTCCTTTGATCTTACTTGCCCTGGTTTTGTTCAAACTAGCAAGGAAATTGCACTTGGGGCTGCAATTTATCCCATCTCAGTAGCTAACGACCTTCCATACCAGATAACTATTTACATATTTAAGGTAAAATGAAATGGAACTTTTCTTTTATTGAAAACACTTTGAATAATATTTTATTCTCATATCTTCAGAATTTTTATAATCCTTTGATTTCAGGATCCAAATACAAGCAATTGGTGGATGCAGTATGGAGAAAAAATCAACGTGGGGTACTGGCCTCATAACTTATTTAGTTTGATAATCAGTGGTGCAGAAAGTGTAGAATGGGGAGGTGAAGTTTACAGCTTAAAGTTGGGGCAATCTTCCCACACTACAACGGAAATGGGAAATGGGGAATATCCAGACCCAATTTTCGACAATTCAGGTTACATGAAGAGAGTGAGAGTTCTTGATAATTCTCGTATCTTGAAGTTCCCGGAATGGCTATCTACTTATGCAGATGAGTACAATTGCTATGATGTTTACCATATTTCAGATTATGTGTGATGACGTCATCAGTCCAACCGGTTGAACCGTGACCCGAGCAGCAGAGCAGGTTGCCCTCCAGTCCGGTTTTTAAAACAATAGTTTGACACTAGCCCAACGTAGTTCTATTCAGAGCTATTAATATGGTAGTGATTAGCTGCATCGAGGAGTGTATCAAACTATAGTTGATCGACAGAGGATTCATCGCTCTCAGGTACGGGAGAAGTTATCTCACTACGCAATTCAGTAAATGACAATGACACTAAATCTGTGGCCATAATGGGATTGAGTCGTTGCCCAATCTAATTTATTATTCCAGTTATTGGTTTAGTAACTGAATACAAACACATTGAGATTAACTGAGGTTGACACTATTTCTGTACCTCAATCTCGATGAGATAATAAATGATGAAAGAATTTGATTGCACAGTAACCATATCATTGACAAGTAGTTGTTGCGCTGAATCCGAATCTATCGAATGACTATGATGCCTTAATATGGGTCAATCTTGATCTGTGTGTAGTGAGACGATTAATTAGTATTAATCGCGATACTACTCACTACCAGTATGATGAGAAGCCTACATGTCACACACATAAAAGATAATTTAAGAATCAGTTTGTATAAGGAGCATTTTCGTTTTTTAGGATGAAAATGTATTTTGGTAATCTCACAGTGCAATTAAATTTGTTGAAGTTGTTGTCTATATTTAATTTAATGTTAAAATTAAATAAGTGAGATTATATTTAAATACATGTACGCATACATTTAAATGAATTATTATTGTTAATTAAATGTTAATATATTTCATAAATATATTAATTGACTTTAATTATTATAATAATAAAGTTAAAATAAAAATACCACAAAGAGGGTGTTTGGATACATGATTGGAGCCATGCCTATTCTTCATTAAAATAGGATTTTGACACATACACTAAATAAGCGCATGTGTATTAGAGAATGAATAAATACATTAATTCAACCAAAGAAAAAGAAAAAACAGAGGCAACTCCTTTCTCTACTCCTCTAACACGATTGCCTTCCATTTTTAACCAAAGATTTTTCTTTGCTATTGCGTTCCATTTTTTAATCAAAGATTTTTCTTTGATTTTGTTTTAATTCTTGAAGTCAAAGAAGATCTAACAAATCTTTCTTTAATTCTTCGGATTATCTTCGTATAGATCATCTTTTGTTCGATCATATTCTTAGATTGGTAGCAAAATAGATTCAAAGATATTTGAAAAAGTCTTCAAACTACATAAGATCTCTGATCCTTATCTAGATTAATATTATATTTGTTTTTTCTTTCAATTTAGGCATGTAAAATATATAAATCTCAAACCTTGATCTTAGGTTAATCAGAGTAATCGATAGAAGAAAAAAAATCCGTTTTTCGCTGCATTTACCGTATCGATTTACTTACCAGATAGTAACTCACACCGTCCAGACTTCCAAAGTACAACCATGAATAATGATAACCCAATCGAATATTTGCAATGCTTTCCTTTTCGTATATGACTTCCAGATAAAATTGCCATAACTAACTTGGCAGTATTTCATGAGATATAAATTTTGCCAAAGTCTATCAAAGCTACAAACTTTCTTGCTTAAAAACCCAAAGAAAAGGAAAAATACATCGCCAGACAATAAATTCAATTTAATGGTTTAAAAAGCATGATACATATTACATAATTTGAATGGGACTTCATTTTGGTTTATGCAATCTTATATACAGTCTATTCATTGAATGCACACACAAACCCTATCGGAATAGAGCATAAATCTTCGTATAGAATATGGCCAGTTTTTAAAACATTCTCTTCATACCTGGGTAACAACACCTGCACTAGTTCAGGCGATAAGTCAATGCTAGATGCTAATAAAGTGTTACGACTGCTACTAGCTTTCGCAAGCACCAATTAAAACGGAAAATTGAATAAAGAAATGGGAGGGTTCAGAACCTGCTTAAAGTGCCATCTCAGCTTGTAACTCAGCAAGTTCATCTTCCTCAGCCGTGCGTTTCTGTGGAACAGGGCGAGCTTGTTGCCTGCCAGCAGGAACTTGCACTGGAGCAGCCGGAGCTGTGGTTGCAGGCTGAAGAAGCTGTTCTTCCAACTCTGCACCTTCCAGTTCTTCAAGTTCTGCTTCCAACTCATCCTGTGTTGCCAAAAATACCAACAATGTTCAGAGTTTCTTTCAAAGAACGTGGAATAAATGCGAATAAAACAAAATTTTATCTAAGAAGAATTTCAATACACATCAAGAGAATAATGACCTCATCAAAATCGGCAGCTGCACCAATAGGAGTTGACAAAGCTTCCTGGATCTGTTTCATGTTCTCAGTCTGCTCATTGATCTCATCCATGGTTTTGTCTACATCATCTATATTCCTGAAAACAACCCAACATTTTAACACACATCAGCCATTGTTATTATTATTATCATCTAAATTCAGTGGTGATATATTTATATGATTCTCCATGTCCTTCATGAAACAAAGAAACAAGGCATACACATTAGTGTAGGTTCCAACTGACTTATAAATATTTTCAACTTCTCCAGTAAAAGGCAAATTGTAGAACAGACCATGTATCAAATTGCAAAACTTACCAGGCAACATAAACTTGTCCCTTTATATAATGGAAAAGAATTAAAAGGAAAGGGGGTAAAAAACTGAAACAAAGAAAATATGCCATATACCCTGGTAACTGGTTCCACTAACATGCACAATGAAGATGCTAAAACCAATATAATGTATGATGGAATTAAAAACTCTGGTAACAACAAATACACAGATGAATCTAAGCAGATACTTACGTTGCTTTCTGCATTGCCTTCATTGCAGATGCTCCTGTCCTCAATGCATCTACAGTCTCAGTTGTGGCTTTTGCACCCTCTAACATAATCATCTGTTGACCTTATACATAATTAGTATAAGCATGCAGCAAAAACTAAACATTGATTACAAAGTTCCATCATCACCTGATCATGAATACGCAATTGGAAATTCCCAAGCTGTTCTATTTGTTGTTCATATAGCCTCTTCCTCTTCAAACATTGTATTGCAGCTGCATGCATGCAACACAGGTAAATGGTGAGCCAGTAATCATACAAGCTCTGGAGATTTTATTTACAAACTACCCAAGCAAACAAAAAAGATAAATAAAATTTTTCACACTAAAACTACATGATAATTTCTGACAACAATATAATACAAAAAAAAAAGAGAGATCTCCTTGCGCTTCTCAGCCATACCTCTTTTGTTCTTTGCTCTGGAGTATTCCTTGGCCCTTTCAACCTCTACAGATGCCTTTTTCAGGAGTACTTTCTCCTTTTTCTCAAGCATTTCAAGCGTCTACACAATGCCAAGAAGATACAGTTTACACTATGCACAATGATAGCAACATAGAAACCAACATACCAGACAGAACCAGCATCATAACTCTCACTGAAAATGTGTAAACAAGTCAAGTCACAATAGATTCAAGTGCAAGAGAAATATCCTAGTGCTAAAATTTGATAAAATCCTTAAACACCACTAATACTAGAAATGTGCAAGAGAACTATACTACGATTCTGTTAGGATCCCACATCGGAATCTCAGACCCACCAAGTGTGATACTCAATCCTAGGGGCTCTCCCACCTATCAGGTCGGTCTTTTGGGTTGGACTTAGACTTGAGTTCTAACATTGGTGCTTTTTGTTGAGAGTTGGGCTGCAGAAAGGGCTATCTATAGGCTAGATTAAGGTGCAGTGTGCTCTCCTTGGGAGGGGGTGCTGCATCGAATAGCTGATAGATGAGTAAAGCTGCCCAAAGGGAGAAAGAGCTACCGTCAGGTCAGTGTCGATAAAGTGAAAGTTGTCATGGATGTCCGCTCTTGAAGGGAGGTGCAATGTTAGGATCCCACATCGGGATCTCATACCCACCGAGTGTGGTACTTAAGCCTAGGGGCTCTCCCACCTATCAGGCCGGTCTTTTGGGTTGGGCTCTCCCTTGGGCTTGAGTTCTAACAGATTCAATTGCATTTACAAAATCAAAATTAAACACCACTGTATTTTCTAGTTTCTACTACCATAAAAATTGGTCTTGGTTTTGGTTCCTCAATGTTGCGGAGTGAATAACAAAAGAATAGTATTGTATAATTAGAAACATCATTCTTAATTCAAATTGTCATTTTTTCTTATTCAAAAAATTTCCTTCAAATAATAATGCAACCAGAAACAGTCGAAGTTAAAGAGAACATAAAAGTTTCGATTGTAAACAATTGCACTCCACCGATCAACAAGCAACCTCTAATTAATTAATTAATTGCCCAGCAAAAATCATAATAAATTCGTAAACCCAGTACAAAAAAATTAAAAATAAATAAATAGATAAAAAAGAAGAGCAACAATGTGAAAAAAATACCTCATTTAACTTGTCAAGCGTAGTGAGAGCATTGGTTTCCTGTTTAGGTTTCCCAAAAAGCCGATTAAACATGGTTGATTCTCCGTGATTATTCAAAACCCTCGATCTTCCCTGTTAGAATCAAATTATTAGATCATCCAAAATCCTAATTCTGAAATTCTACCCTAACCGAAACTATTGATTTCAACGAACGATCGGACCGTATATAAAATTAAAATCATCTTAATTGAAGTACCTGTGAAAATTAACGGATTTTGGGAATTCGATTAAAAGATACACGAGAGAGAGAAAGAGATCTGTGAATTATAAGAGAGATAGTGAAAGATTGGGTTTGGTGTTAATCTTAATCGTGTTGTTTTGACTCTATTTTAATGGACGGATGTTTTCACTTCCTCCGACTGAATGCGACGTCGTTTTGGAAGGGTTGTTCATTGTTGTAAACTTGTAATACAGTGAGTCTGTGACCCTGTTTGGATTATTTTTACTTTTTTTTAATTAAAAAAAAAAAAAAAAAGACATAGAAAACTAAAATGAGCAGCATGTTAAAGGTGGATGTATATACATTTGTTTTGGATTTCGAAGTTAAGAGATTTGATACATTCTCTTAAA